CTCCACTCACTCCACTGCGCCGGTTCGATCCTGAGATCGATCTGTAGCTCTTGATGGTTCAAAACTGGACCCAGCTGTCCTTTGAATGTTTGTCTTGAAATAAAATGGTCCTGGCTAATGACACAGCTGATTTTAGACAATAACAAAAGCTACACAAGGCATCTAACTTCATCACACTCTTCTCCTAACTAGGTGGTGTCCCCATCTCAATTTGTAATGGTGAGAAAGCTTGACGTTTTTGGACAAGAAGATGTACAATTAAAAACAAAAAAATCTGTATCCACACAAACTGAACAGGATAATTTGTAATAGCACAATTAATATCAGTCTTTTAACTTCACTTTTCAATATTATTTTAGTTCAGAAGCAACATCATAGTGTTCAACAAAAACTGTTTTAAGTCATACGCATTGTTGTTGTTATGTATAAGCATTGTTATGGTTGGGGTTTGAGCATATAAACTAGGTGGCGTTCGCAGAGGCATCCACAAGATTGAGCGGAGTCATCAAGGGTTCATATTATACTAGTGCACCTGTTGCCCGAATTCGAGCAATTGCAAAGTACGGTATTACAGGAGTTGTTTTTTTTTTCAAAAAGAATAACAGTCACAATTTACGATGACTTAAAAAGAGTCAACTGAAAGATAATGTAATCAATCACTTCACTCCAGTTACCGAAACTGGAAACGAACTCGCTCTGAAAACGAACGCTCACTCCACTCCAGTTATCGAAACTGAAAACGAACTCACTCTGAAAACGACGCTCTTGTGTGTATCATGTGTTTACTAAGAACAGCTGTAATTAATACAAATTATTCGTCTGTTTAAGTAAACAAAATTGTTATTTCAAAAGAAATACATTGGGATTTTGATGGTCTATGGGGCAAATCCCTAGAACTTTTATTACAGGAATTGGTGAAAGGGGGTGACTACACAACAAATACTTAATTTTGACACCTCGTTTTTAAAAATCCATCCATTATTAACGGAGGAGTAGTGTTTCGTAGAAATCGCCTTCACGTATTATATAAAAGAATTGTTTTTGTCATGTACTGCAATAAAAACAGTAGTTTTTAATGCATGCGTTGCGGGTCTAAAGTAGCATTTTTAATATTTAGGGAGTAAAAATAGTTTTTAGCCTCTATGGAGTAAAAATCAGCTGTTGTCAACTCAGTTGTAAATTTCGGTTGTAAACGATTGCATGTATATAAAATATTTATCGATTCGTGCTTCGTAATCATTTTAACATACAGTCTAAGCCCTCACTGACTGACTGACTCACTCACTCACTCATCACTAATTCTCCCACTTCCCACTTACCTAGGAGGCTGAAATTTGGTACACTGATTCTTTAGGCATTAAATAGGAAAACTAAGTGGTTTTTATTCTGATCGGACTCTCGGGCTCCGCCCCAGTGGCTCTGGAGTTTCCCATGTTAACCTAATGAGTACTCATATTTAAATGGAATTAATGAATCATAACAGCTGTTTCAATTAAACAAGTTGGTTCTATTCTGTGTTATTCAATAGCATTAAAGTTACAAGGATTACCAACAGAGTGCAGCACTATTATTTTTTTAATTTATGACAACAGCTAATTTGCAACCAAAAGGTGAGTGAGCGTAGCGAACGAACTTCAACTCGGAGTTGAGTTAGCGTAGCGAACGAGCTAACCTGAAGGCAAGTGAGCGCAGCGAACGAGCTCCAACCGTAAAGGTGAGTGAGCGTAGCGAACGAACTTCAACCAGGACGTGTGAGCGCAGCGAACGAGCTCCAACCTAAAGGTGAGTGAGCGTAGCGAACGAACTTCAACCAGGACGTGATTGAGCCATGCGAACGAGCTCACATATGAAGTTAAACGGGGAAAAGCCCGCGGGTACAGCTAGTTTTAACATACAGTCTACAATCTCTTCCCGTAGCATTTTAGCATTGCAGATACATTACTCCATTCCCAAACTCAACACTGCTCATCTTTACTACTTCCTTCACCACACCCTACGTCGTGGACCTGTTTCCCTCTCTTCCCATAGCAGGATTGCAGAGATACATTAATGTAATTGCCAAAGACAGTTACCACACTCTGCACTGCTAGCCTTACTACTTCTTTCACCATTTACTACGTCGTAGGCCTGTTTCCTTCCTTTCTCATAGCATTTAAGTATTACAGATACATTTATCTAACTGCCCAAACGGTTCCCCCACTCTGCACTGCCAGCCTTTACTACTTCCTTCACCACATCCTACGTCGTGGGGCCTGTTTCCTTCCCTTCTCATAGCATTTTAGTATTGAGGATACATTAATCTAACTGCCACAGACGGATCTCACACTATGCTGATGCTCACACTTTACCAATGAATACACAAACTATAGTTTGTGTATTCATTGACTTTACTACTTCCTAAGCCACTTCCTACGTCGTGGACCTGTATACATCACTTTCCATTGCATTTTAGTATTTTAGATACGTTAATCTAATTGCCACAAACATTCCCACACTCCGTACTGCTAGCCTTTACTACTTCTTTCACCATTCCCTATGTCGTGGGCATGCTTCCATCCCTTCTCATATCATTTCAGCATTGCAGATACATTAAAACTTCTACAAACGGTTTCCAGTTCCCACACGCCACACTGCTCACCTTACTACTTCTTTCACCTCTTCCTACGTCGCGGATCTGTTTCCCTCTCTTCCCATAGCATTTTAAGATTGTAGATACCTAAATATAATCGTCATAAACAGATCCCACACTCCGAACAACTTGCCTTTACTACGTCCTTCACCACTTCCTACATCACGGACCAGTTTCCCTCCCTTTCCTTAGCATTTTAGGATTGCAGATACCTTAATCTAATTCTCATAAACAGTTTTAACACTCCAGACTGCTCGCCTTTACTACTTCCTTCACCACTTCCTACATCGTGGACCTGTTTTCCTCCCTTCCCATAGAATTTTAGGAATGCAGATACGTTAATCTAATCGTCATAAACAGTTTCCATACTCCAGACTGCCCACCTTTACTACTTCCTTCGCCACTTCATACGTCACGGACCCCACGCTAGTGTCGTCATTTAATTATATTTATGATCCATACCGTTTCTGTTCTAATATCTGTGGAATAATGCTATCAGCTATTTCTTTATCTACTGCATTCAAAAGTCAACAGCTGATCATATGTCTTTGTTTATGTGTCAAATACTGCTTCCATAAGGATTACATTGAAACTTTGAGACCCAGTGGGGCGGATTCCTGAGAGACTTTTTTAACGCCATATAGATGTTGGCACTCACCGATATTGTCTTTATTATCATGCAAAATTTGAAAACGATTGATTCAGCCGTCTAGGAGGAGTTTGCGTATTACGAAATGCATAAGAATCGACGTATAAGAGCTTCGCTCGCTCCGCTCAAAAATTATCTTATAAGAGAAGAAACACCGTCACTATACAACCCCTTTCATCTTCCATGAATACCGTGCTTAGGATACAAATAAATAAATATAACCTCAAACATTATAATATACTTTTAAATACTTTTTTATGAAATGGCGACCATACACAGTTGGTATTTTAAGCTAAGTATGAATGGAGATGAGTGTAGGATGAGTGGCGTGATCTTGTAGTCTTGTTAGTGACTAAGGACGACATTCCTTAGACACAGCTGTTAATTAATAGCCCATACAGCTAAATGGCAACTAAGGGACCTACAGTTTATAGTGGAATCCGAACCACATTTATTTGCCTTGGTATATACGAATTGGTCTAATTATCAGGATAGCACTGCGGGTAGTCGTAGTACTCACTCGTGCGGACGTTAATCCACACCAGGGAATATCGCATCCACAGTGCATGCCTATAAATATCCCCAATTCGTGACCTCCTAGTAGCTGGATTACAGGACGACGCCACCCCAATAATTATCAAGATAGTGAAAAGTCATATAAAATCGTTCAATGTCCCCAAAAAGCAGTTTACCTCTTTGCACCACAAAGGAATCATTTGCGTCATATCACTCTAGGAGCATGAGAATGGTGATTTCAATTGATTGGCTAAAGGTCATTGTGATGGCTGTTTGTCTTTAATTTTGACGATGACTTCATTCAATATACAGACTGTCCCAAAAGACCCGGACCGGTTTAATATTTTCCAAACGACAACAGATAAATCAATAAGATTTTGCACATTAACACCACACTTAAAAATCTACTTTTTTAATGAAGTATCAACTTTCTGTCATATAATGGGGACGTCCCGCAAGGAGTCAGAAGGAAATCTTAAATAGAAGCATAGGTTGACATGCACATCAAATTAAAGACCTTTTCTAGTAGATTACAATGCCGTAAATTAAAGCTCAAAAGAACGCCTTTGTAAAAAATGGCAGCCGTTCAAAGATTTCTTGAACCTGTCATTTTGAATCTTTGAACGACTGCCATTTTTTGCTCAGGCGTTCTTTAAAACTTGAATTTACGGCATTGTAATCTACTAGTGAAGACCTTTAATTTGATGTGCATATCGACCTATGCTTACGTTAACAATTTTTTTCCGATTCCTAGGGCTGTGCCCCCAAATGCAAATTAAATGAATCTTTGAACCACTGTCATTCTTGACTTGGTTGTCCGTTTGAGTTCAAATTTGCGGCATTATATTCTGCTAGTAAAGACCTTTAATTTGATGTACATGTCAACCTATGCTTCTATTTAAGATTTCCTTCTGACTCCATGCGGGACGTCCCCATGATGTGACAGAAAATTGATATTTCCTAAAAAAAGTAGATTTTTAGGTGTGGTGTTGATGTACCAAATCTTATTGATTTATCTGTTGTCGTTTAGAAAATATTAAACCGGTCCGGGACTTTTGGGACAGTCTGTATATTGACCTTACAGACAGTTTAGTGTTATGTATAAAGAGTGCACTGTACTATCATTACTTCAATGTTATTACCTACTTAAATAAAGTAAAAAAAGTTTGTAGTTTTTCTATTCTTTTAATTTTAAACTATAACTGTCAGAAAACTTCAAAACCATTCACAGATCAAATTTTGAATGTTTTGACAATGTTATTAAGGCTTCTGACGAAATTTAAATGTTCCTAAATGTCTTCTCAGGTTCATCTTTTTAAACCAGACTTCAACTGTTAGTTTTTTTCTAAAACATCAAAAAATATTAGTATCATAGTTGTTGTTTTTTAAGTTAAATCAATTGTATTTCTGTTAATATTCTTGTCATTGATGAGCTATATTTTAAAATGTATTAGTTTTCTGTGACAGTTACAAAAACTAAGATTCTAGAACAACATAAAACCTGCATTTTATCACAATCTTGAATTACATTTTCCTCAGGGGGGGTCTAACGATCCGATACTAAAAATTATTAAATATCAGATATATTATAGCTTATTTACTTAAGGTGGGTTTTCCGAACTGTCAATTTGGGCTGTAGAATTGTGAACGCTAACAAGTACGAAACCAAAAGTAGCAAAAGTACAAGAAAGTTATCAAATAGGCAAGCAAGTAATTATTTATGTATCGAACACGCTCCTAAGCGAAAAATAGACTACACCAGCTATACAAATTTTCATATTGATCTACAACATTGAAACTGATATAACTGGGAATCGGCAACAAACCGGAAACTTGACGATAATCAAAGCATCCGCCTGAACATAAACCTGCAAAATACTGAAATGAAACAGAAGAAGAAATACCTCCCCCAACATAACTCCATGGAGTGTCTGTCCTCGTGTTACTCGCTCGACCCAACCACAATAAACGAGTAACGAGACGTGTGTACAAATACAATTTTTTTTTAATATATATACTATGTTGTTAAAGTTAGTGTGACAACATAAGAAAAGGACTGGAAGTTGCTACACAAGCTAGCAAAATGTGTATAGGATTATAGACAAACTACTGCGGTACTCACGAACAAAAGAGTAATACTTTAATGTGAATACTAACTGAGCGAGTCTTTTAGGCACTGAATTTACTTTTCTGAACTCGGCCGCTATGAAAACATCAGTACTATTTGTGTTTTCAATATTGATGCCAAGAATATTCATGAATATAAACAGTCATAGTCAATGGCTAGGAAACCTCACCTTCATGCAGGTGTACACTTAATTTAATCTGAAAAAGTGAAAAATACTGTAGTTTTGTAAAAGAAGAAAAGGTTTGCATTCAATTGACTCTTAGGCACATGAGCGAGACTGTTTCTATTGAAAGAATAATCAAGGCACATGGTCCCAGCACAAAACTGATAAGGTATATTTAAATGGAAACAAACTAAATGATAGCAATGTCATGTATTACCTGCTTTGTTTGCTTGTATGACTTCTTTTCCACTTTTCCAATCCTCATTTTGAATATTTTGGAGCCCCGATATCCGTCTATCCAGCTTGATTATTTCCATGTGTTTGAGTGCAAGTAAATTAAATACCTCAATCGTCTTTAGACTAGGTGTTGATTCCTAATCATATAAAAGTACATTAGAAGAGATTACAATTTCCATGAGGTACTGCATGTTACCATGAAGTACAGTACCCCAAACCCATTGCCATATTACTGTATTAAAGTAATTTGAATATATTAAAATACTCCTGCCACAGCAAACCTACGGAATAAGCTGGTTTTCATTTGCCTGATTGGATTTTTACTGAAACATTTCCTTGGACATGTCAGTTTTATTCCCAATAGAAACAACATTAGGTTTGGTCAGTACTTAGGTTATCTGCTACAGGGAATTCAATTACCGTAAGGGTTTTGTCTACTGAAATAGCTTAGTGTGAAATAAATTTGCCAAATGTTGTCATAATATACTAGCAAACTGTATCACTTAAATTATCCTCAATAAGTATAACATTTGATGATACAATGTTCTGTAATTGTATCTTTGACACTTATGTATCAGCAGAGTAACACAAACTCGTAACCACTCACCTCTTAAAATACTACAAACACAAGTGTTTTTAATACCCTTAAACAAAAGTTTAAGTTCTTTGGCTTATACCCACCTCAGACAACAGTTTACAATTGTCATCCCGTTTTCTACACTTCCACAGGGACACTTCCCATTCATTTTTCAATCTGATCAGTTCTTTCAGTTCTTTGACCAATCTCTCTCGCTGGTGCAGCTCTAGTGTTTTTTGGCCCAAGACCCTTTCCAATTCGGACACTTGGTTACGCAAAGTTTTTTCAGAACTCTGTAGCTCTTTGATCTGAAATTAATATGTACATTCATTAATTATTGTTGAACAAGTTCCTACTCTTAAAGAATGGGAGAAATTTAAATATTGACTTGAGAAGATTAGATCATATCTATTTTGAACTAATCATTCTCCCAACACCAGACAAAAAGATGACATTGTTAGACCTAGTATTAGACTTGATAAGTATTATAAGAGTTATAGTTACCATCAAATTTTAATTTATAATAAACTGCCAACCACTGTCAAAATGTTGCCACCTAAGAAATTTACCAATGTTATTAGCAAGTGGCTCAAAGTTAAGGCATTTTATACCACTGAAGAGTACCTGAGCTGTGACACTCAAGACATTATCAATTGATTTGTGTTAATACTTTGACAACACCTATTGTATTGCATATTTAATGGTGAATAAATTCTTGATTCTTGAACATGTATGTGTTGTTTGTTGTTTAATTGACTGACACTAGCACTTTTAAATCTTTCAACGAATATTAAATTCAGTACCGGGTTTGCCATAAGGCTATATGGCTTAGCAAAAGGGAACCAGAGCGTTTTGTGTAAAAAATTTTTATGGGTCTGTTTCTAAAATTTATGATTTGCCTTGATCATGGTAATGATGTCCCATGGCCCCGGGAGATGTTGACGATTTTGCCGCAATCGTGGGAAGTCCCACCAAAGAAGCCGCTTGGGTTATTCTGGTCTAGACCCGCAAGTAGGCCTACCATAAATTCAAAACTCCATCAGTTGAACCAGCAATAAAAAATATACAAGGGAGTATGTTTAATTCCTCTATTAAGGTCCTCTATTAAGGTTGTAAGTACTAGTAGTTGTTGAAGTTATTTGACTCGATTCCATACATGTTCTTTAACGGAATAAAGGATAATTTTATTTTATTTGATACCTGGTTATTAAATGATGAACACTTGTTATTACACTTCTTGGTCAACTTTGTAGCATAAGATAGTAATTTTTCTTCTCTGTTGGATCTGTAAAAAAATAATAGAAATTTGTACTGACTTTATAGCGTGTGTTGGAAATTGAAGGCTGCAAATAACAATTCAAACAATCATTTATATCTCTGTATGTGAATGATCTATAGGATGTAGTACAAAACTTGTCCTGGACGTCTGAAATCAATCCACCAATGGTTTTTTTCTCTACCTATGTGGTAAAAGTGTTGGGAAAATGTTGATTGTAGATCAATGTATTTAAGAGTATTGGAGTTTACCATTGGCCATGTTAGTCTTTGAGACATCCCTTTAGTTAGATATAGTTAGTAGATCTCTCACACAGTCACTTGATAAGCTACATTTCCTTCTTCTCTATTTGCCTGATCTGACATTACTGGATGCCAAATGCCCTCATTTTGCAAATGTACACCTATTTTACACATTTTTCAATACACTTCTCTGCAAACACATCTGAATTGAACCCCTCCCAACAGAAAATTTTCTTTCACATTGTTTCCGACTACTTAGACTATTTGTCACGTAGAAGGGGAACCGGCTACAATAGTAGTGGAGGAAAAAGTACACCTTTAACATTTAAGAGTTACAATGTTTTGCAGACATTTTACCATGCTGATGTATCTTCTATGACAGTTAGTTATCAAAATGTTTTAAAGGTTAGGTTTTAGTTATTAAAAAGGTTTGGATACAAAGTTTTTAGCATGGCCAATAAAAATGGTTTATTAATAATATAAAAAAAGATTGTGCAACAATTTAATTAAATATTTACTAAATAATTTATTTAATGGCTTATTAGTGCACTCACTTGTCCCTGATCATATGTTCAAGGCGGTTTATTTTTTTCCTAAATTCTTGAATCTGAACATTTCTTCTATCAGCACCACTAACTAGATTTTTCATTAATTCCACATTGCTTTTATGATCTGACAATTTCTATGAGCAGACAAATCAGAATTAATCGTCTATAGTTAGTTTAGCATTAATAACTCAAATACAAATCCTACTTAATATTATAAATGAGAAAGTTTGGATGTTTGTGACAAGTGAACGCGAAAAATACTGGTCGGATTGGGCTGAAATTTGGCATGATGATAGCTCACATTCCCGATTAACATATAGGCATATTCTTATTTCAAAAATCCTTTCGGGCTCCGCCCCAGTGGCTCTGGAGTTTCCCATGTTAACCTTATGAGAAATGGAATTATTGAATCTTAACAGCTGTTTCAATTAAACAAGTTGGTTCTGTTCTATGATGTTCAATAGCATTAAAGTTACAAGGATTACCAACAGGGTGCAGCACTATTATTTCTTTTACATTTTTATGACAACAGCTAATTTGCAATCAAAAGGTGAGTGAGCGTAGCGAACGAACTTCAACCTGGAGGCGAGTTAGCGTAGCGAACGAGCTAACCTGAAGGCAAGTGAGCGCAGCGAACGAGCTCCAACCTAAAGGTGAGTGAGCGTAGCGAACGAGCTCCAACCTAAAGGGGAGTGAGCGTAGCGAACAAACTTCAACCAGGACGTGATTGAGCCATGCGAACGAGGTAATCTTGAAAATAAAGAAGTTAAACGGGGCAAAGCCCGCGGGTTACAGCTAGTAGTAATATGTATTGTCATTTGTCATAAGAATATTTATAAATAAAAATCATTTCAATGGGTGCAATTGGATTGCTACAATATTTACCCAACAAGTACATCCGTCAGTGATCTCATAACCACCCAGAGGATCCTGGGATAGAGCGACCATGGCTGGAATTCCCGTTAAATAAAAATGAGCCTCTCTGCCCTAAACATTTCTGAGAGCTCGGCCCCTTGAAACCCATGGACTCTGCACCTAAGGGCACTGGAGTAGCATGGGTGGCGTGAGAAACCAAACTACCAAGAGTACTCATAAACTCTTAAACTTAAGCTTAAAAATTGACTTGAGCTAATCTGTTTTTGCTGGATAAATTATGTTTCTTGCCTTATTTTCGCATAACGTCTTCTTTGGCTGCAATAAATTTATTTCTGCAATCAGTTCTTTTATCTTCTTGTCTTTGTCAGCAACCTTCTTTTCCAGTTGAGTTCTAAAAACGTTAAAACTTTTTTGTAAGATATATTACTTACGTCAATAGTTCAAAATACTGTATGGTGAAATTCAGAACATGTTTTGACACAACTGTGTCATCATCAGCTGAGCACTAATTTTTTTATCAAACACAGACATCTCATGGATTACTTTGACCCATGCATATAAGGTCAATGCGCATACATATTTCAAAATTTTCCCTGAACCCCTCCTCTTCCCTGGTAGGTTTTCCATACCCCTCAGACCACTCCAATTTTTCTCTTTTGAAATGCCCTTCAATAACAATATTGATCAATATTGATACATGACTCTTGTTTATTGTTTCTTGCCTCAGTGCAATAACTTAAAAAAATGGGTATGCTTATTTTTACTTTGAACCCTTAGTATTTTAACTTTTAACTTAGTTTATTTTAACAAACGTTTTCTGCACTGAAAAACTATGTAGCATACGATAATTGGTAATTCAAATAGCCATCAGAAAACCAAAATTAACAAATCAGCAAAAATAAAATTATTTCTATTTAAATTTATGAATATCTAGCCCTTGAGTTTGTGCTGAATCAATTAACAAATACCGAAATACCAACTAAGCAATAAGTTAGAACATATACCTTTCCTGCAAACTGTTTTCGAGAGCAGCTTTCTTGTTTGCCATGACATTTTCGTAATCTTTTAATTTCTTTTCTAATGACAATTTGGTGTTTTCACCCTCCTTTAGTTGTTGTTTCCTTGCAAAAATACAAAAAAGTAATTAGTCATTGGTGGGGGAACAATATATAATTCACCTTTATAAAATTTAAAGAATAATATTTCTTATTTGAATTTAGCGTTTTTTGGTTTGAAACTCTTGATTAGGCCACAATCAAGCAGGTGGTAGAGCAGTTTAGGCTGCACTGTAAGTAATTATTAGTTTCTAGAATTAACACACCAAGCTCTAACAGCCATCAGTTTGGTAATTTAATTATTAGTCTACAAAAAGGGTGATCGAGACGGTCTTGCCAGTTACAGGCCGGTCTCCATAGTGCCTGTTCTGGGTAAAGTCATTGAAGCCATATCATTCCAACCGACACTGTTATATGGAGATGAACAGCTTAACATCAGATGGGCAGTAAGGTTTTAGAAAAGAGACGTCCACCACTGGTGCATTTAAGATGTTATCTGACTTGGTTGATGAAGGATTTGAGCCTAGGCATCAGATGGTCTCCGACGAGGGCACAACATCCAAACCCTAGAGCGTCAGGTACGACGTTCCTCAGGGATCGATTTTTGGCCTGCTGTTCCATAATGAAGTTATCCATTATGAAACTCTTTAAACCCCTGGCGTAAATTTAGCCGGTTATGGCCAAGCGAGCAATAATCTTAAAGGATTTTATAGTTTAAGAATTTTACTCATAATAAACTTACAGTTTCAAAACACAGTTTTGTGATTCAGCATGTTTTTTTAATAGATCTTCATATTTTTTAGTTTCATTTATATCTTTTGTTTCCAATTTTTTTACACTCTCTTCAAGTTTTCTCCGAGTAGTTTCAACATTCTCACTTCTTCTCTCCAGCTCTGAGAATTTCTTTTCAATAAGCTTGACAACTTTTCTCAACTCAAATAGCTTCTTTAGTATTTCCATCTTAACAAAAGATTTTACATAGTGAAATGTTTGCAATATTAGTAAAAAGCTTTCCAGATAATGGTACTATTGAAATTTCTCTCTTAATTGCAAAATAGTGTGCCTTTTGAACAATTAAAAGCATCAGCAAACATATAGCAAGTACTTAAGGAAATACTTATCATGTGTTTTAATCTATCTTGCAAAAATATCAAATCCTTGTAAAATATGTATTTTGCACACACACACAGATTTATGAACGCAAACAACGTAACAAAATAACATTGCAGACTTTAAGTACAACTCTTGTTGCTTATAAGTATAACATCAACTTCCAAACAAACTGTCCACTGTTTATTTGTTCATAAATAACCCCCCCCCCTACCACCAATCACTGCTGCTAATCTGCAGACTAAGAAAATTTACATTCACCTCATTGGATTATAAAATATAATAAACGGTATCAGCATTCTGACACATACTTTCTCCCATAAGTTTGTCAACAACCTTTATCATGTGTAAGCGGTGAGAGTAAATATACGGAAATGGGATTTGTAAAATTTTCTTCAGAATTTAAAGGACTATAACATACTCATTCAATTTTTATCAAAATCGTTCGAGCCAATTTTGGGAAAACCGGATTTTCCGTTATTTTATGGGGTTTTTATGGGAAAATAACATAATTTACAATAACGTTTGAACCGAAATTTTTACAGAAATGGGATTTGTACCATTTTGTTCAGAATATAAAGGACCATAACATACTAAATTTTTATCAAAATCGTTCCGCCCATTTTTGGGAAAATCCGATTTTTCCGTTATCTTATGGGGTTTTATAGGAAAATCCCCATTAAAAATAAAAATTTCTAAAAAATGTAAAAGTCTATCAAAATTGTAAGGACCATAACATACTATGTTAAATCAAAACCGGATTTTTGTCTAAAATCCTAATTTTCCTTATTTTATGGGGTTTTTATGGGAAAATAACATAATTTACCATAACTTTTGAACCAAAATTTTTACAGAAATGGGATTTGTACCATTTTGTTCAGAATTTAAAGGGCTACAACATACTAAATTTTTATCAAAATCGTTCGGGCCATTTTTGAGAAAATCCGATTTTTCCGGTTTTTTATGGGTTTTTATGGGAAAATCCCCATTAAAAATCAAAATTTCAAAAAAATGAAAAAAAAACGCCTGGAGATACCATGGATTAGAACCTACATACCAAATTTCATCGAAATCGGACCACAGGTGTAGTCTCTAGCTCTGTACACATCCAGACACACAGACACACACACACCTATACGTGTTTGAGGGGGGAAGTGAGGACCTTGGATATTAAATGACTTTGTGAGGACAGAGGCTTCCTATTGTTTTATCGTTAGGTTGGTGAGTATTAATTGCTAATCATATGTTTAAAAACTATTTACACACTTTATTTGAATGTTATATACAACTTTTAAATTTTGTAAAACCTTGTGAGGACTTTGGCCTTTTCTGTACTTTGTGAGGACATTTTGTTTGACACATAAATACTACTAAGTGAGGACACTTATTAATTTTATTTTTTTAATGAGAACCCAATGTTTAAACTGTGCAGTAAAATGTTGTAGGCTAAATGAAAGTATAAAATAATTATTCTCAAACTACAAATATTGGTAAGCATTTTTTTAAATCAATGAATAAAAGATCTTAAGTTTTTCTTTCGTAGTTACACATTTCCAATTGCAGTTTATATTGAAAACAACCATTTATCATGTAATTTTACTATAAGTACACTTAATAACAATGATTATTGGATTTTTGAGAATCTCCAGGCGAGTAGTTTCAAAACAATTGTTGTTTCATTATCAGCCTTCGTCGTCAAACATCAAACTATTTAAACATGTTGTCGTCGTCTATATGCAAAAATTTTACATTTAGGACAAACGAAAAGTACGAATATATTAAGTTAACATAAATTTTTGTGCGCGGCCGGCCATAACACGCACGACAACCTCGACGGACGGAAACAACTCAACTACCCGAACCCGACGCCTGTCTGGAGACATTGACCTTGGAGGGGGTGAAACAGCTGATAATGAGATGGTCTTGATAATGAAACAACAGTTGTTTCGAAACTAGTCACCTGAGACTACAGTAGGGTTGACGACGTAAGGTATGTAAACCTATTTCATTTGTCATAAATCAATCCTGGAGCAATGCTGGATAAATCCCTCATTTATTGTAAACATGAATTTGTGGCTATATTAATGTTATGTATTTTGACATATTGCTAAATGAGGACCTTAAGCACACACACTCAACTTTGAGAGGGCCTTGACATTTCTTATTCGTTCTGAGGACTTATAGGGAGACACAGTACTATTTGAGGACCTGCTGCACACACACTATCAACGTTGAGAGGACCTTGAAATTTATAATTCGTTCTGAGGACTTATAGGGAGACACAGTACTAAGTGAGGACTTTCAGCACACACACTCGACGTTGAGAGGACCTTGACATTTCTAATTCGTTCTGAGGACTTATAGGGAGACACAGTACTAAGTGAGGACCTTCAGCAGACACATTCAACGTTGAGAGGACCTTGACATTTCTAATTCGTTCTGAGGACTTATAGGGAGACACAGTACTAAGTGAGGACCTTCAGCACACACTATCAACGTTGAGAGGACCTTGAAATTTATCATTCGTTCTGAGGACTTATATGGAGACACAGTTCTAAGTGAGGACCTGCTGCACACACACTCAACGTTGAGAGGACCTTGACATTTCGGGTTTTCCGCCCCGTTGAATGAAATATTCAATGTAATACAATTTATAATTGTGTACCAATTCCTATATTAAACTATAATAACTAATGAAGTTTATTTATTTATGTATAAATCATATATAGTTTATTTCCTATATAAACTAATGAAACTGAATAGGGTCACTGTTTTACAAAACCGTTTCTTTCTTTATGCTAGAACATTATGAATGAATGTAAAAAAATAAGTTAGGTGTAAGGCAGAAATTCTAGATATTGGTTTAGTTTTACAACTTGTAATGCAACCTTTGTACTATACCAGTACTTAAGCACGATTGTGGACAGTAAATCACATTCTTAGAAGTACTGTTTAGTATTATCAAAGATAATTATTAACCAATTATTAACCAAACCCTTTCCTCTTATGTGTGATGATATGAATTTTAAAACATTTACAGAATAGCAATGGCACTCAAAACTCTTTTTTACTAATCGTGTCTTTGCAACATTATACAAATACTCCTATTGTCAAAGGAACACGCATAACAATTCGATTTGTAAATTTATTATTCAATTTTAGCGAATTTCCCATATAGGGAATAAGCTATTACCGTAGTACTCATGGTAAGACCTGGACCCGGGACCGATTTTTTTTTTTCGTTTTGAGGTCCCTAGAGGCCAAAAACACCATCCGTTCAAATTCATATATATATATATATATATATATATATTTATATATATATATTTATATATATATTTATATATATATATTTATATATATATTTATATATATATATATATATATGTGTCCGTTAGCGCGATAACTCGAGCAAAAATGATCCGATTTTAATGAAATTTGGTACAAACCTGTAAACCTACGTTTATTCGAACGAGTTCGCGAACCAGCATGATTGGACCATGGGAACGGGGGTTTATGGGGGCTTTTATGGGGTAAAAATGGGTTTTTCCCATTTTTGACCCAAAAAACATAAAATTTTGCAATTTCTTTCCAAACAATTTAGTAGAGCTTAAAAAAACAAATAATTTAGTATATTGAAGCGTTATAATGCGCCTAATGGTTACGGAGAAAATTCCAAAAAATTGTAAATTTAAAATTCTCATGTTATTCTTATGGAGAATAAGTAAACTGTTGTAGTTTGCTTGTTTATTAACATGTTCTGCCCAAATTTGGAAAATGTTTTTATTTCTTACTAACTATTAACATTTTACATAAAAAAAACACTTTCACCCTCCCTGTTGCAGCAAACCTAACTATGTGTTAAACTGATTCTATTTAAATAGGGAATAAATGTGATATTTTTAAGGAGATATTTTAGTGTAAATCC